AAAAAAAAAAAAAAAAAAGAATCACCGTCACGATGATAATCGTTTGCACCGTTTATGGCCTACGCATGTGGACGACGGATCGCGATCATTTCTTTTTAAACATTAGTCATTAACCTTGAAGGGATTTCCATCCCGCATGCTCGATTGAATCATCCGCGAGGCGTTCCAGGACCGACAGTCTCGCGATTTGTTGAAAGAAAGAAGAAAAAAGAAGAAAAAAAGAAAACAGAGAATTAGAGAAATCGGATCGTGGAAGATATCTTTAAGATTTTAAATAAATTTTAAGAATTTGTTTTTGAAATGTCAACAAACAAGAGGATGAGCTAACACTTTTACGATTATTACTTAAAATTTAATTATCCTTGTTTTTCTTTATACCATAGTTGTAATAATAATCGATTGAAATCAAGTTTTTAATACTAAGAAACTATTACGCGTGTCGAACGTTTCCTTGTAATATGACTACGACGATTCGAATATCTCGATGAATAAAGAGTGTAGTTAATCGTCTAAACGCCTAATATGCGATTTTGGATTTTCCCAAATCTGATGATTCCACGTGTGTTCCTTGGAAATAGGGTTCCCCATAATGCGATATTGCAAGAATAAGAGAACCGCAAAACAAGGAAGTCATCGGAACGTCGGTCCAGATACATATTTTATTTTATTTTTTTATAATATTAAATCGTTTATATAGTTTTTCGAAATAATAGAGATCAATAGAGATTTTGAACACGTACTATTGATAAATCGAACAGTTCTATTCTAAAATTGGACGCGGAAGATCGGCGATTTCGATTGTAGATCTTGCATTTATAACGCTATTTCCGGCTTTTTGGCGCAAGTCGATCGTGACTTGGTGGTCGAGAGCCACGAGCAGGGGAATTTCATAAGTGCATACTAAGCAAGGGAACGCGATAAGTGATAAAATTAGACGGGAGAGGTTTCGCTGGGCGCAAACTTGCGTAAGACTATTCGTCGATGTGTGGTACCAGCGAGTGCAAATCCCGTGAATCATTGTAGTATTCGAAAGACGCATAATGCCTCGATTTATTTTTGCTCCACGGCAAAAGTCAACCTTTGATCTTTTGTTCACCGAGGGGCCCCTCTCGACCGACGTTCGACTTTCTTCAACCGTCCAATATTCGCTGGCCGAATCGTGGTCCCTATAAATAAACGCGGACAGAAATTAGAAATTTGATTTTCGTAACGCGTGTACCGATTCTGATTATGCGGGAAAGGGCACGGGACAAGATTTCGTTCTTTTCTTCTTTTTCCTCCTTGTACCGAGGAATGAAAGGAGAACGATTGTAAAGGCAAATCTATGAATCATGGCGTCCGATCTTGACGAGCATCGTGAAAATTCAATTCTATTCAATTCTATTCAAATCTCGTTTTATTCTTGAATTACATCTTTCCATTCTCCTATTCCGAAGGAGACCGAGACTCGTAGACGCGATATCGATAAAAAAACGCTGGTGTCACCGCATGAGAAGGAGGTGAGACACGGAGGACCCTACTTTCTTATTCTGATCTTGTAAAGTTTAAACTTTTTAAACTTTCTTTTGTAAACCGAGCCGATTTATCGATGCTTCGACAATTAAGTCGCGCGTTACGTTATGTATTTACGAGTAAATCGCGCGACAAGGTCGTCATAGGACGCCACGAAGCATTGCGTGCCGCTACGACGAAATGCACGAAGCCCCGCGAAACTAGGAAGAAACGTGGAAAAGGACGCGGCGATCCGTTCACCGCGTGCTAAACAAGGACGAACATATAATACACAGCAGCGATTCGTTCGTGTGCCTTCGTCTGCAAATCGTGTACGTCACGAAGCAGCCGGCCAATCAGCGTCGAGTCGGATGACTCATCCAGTCGAGCCTCATGTAAACTCTCTCGTGCCGCTTAGCCACCAGTCTCCCGCCAACAAGCAAAAGGGCAAGCGCCACTTTTGCCACGTATATATCCCTGTTTCATCGTGAACGCATAAACATAGTTTTGCCGTGGTATCGTGCTTCCTTTGGAAAACGTTGACATTGTTAAAACTTTTCATCGTTTGGATAACGTCGATCAGAAGGTTGACGATTGTCGAACGACAGGGAGACACAACTCTCTCTCTTGTAATCATCGCTTTGCGTAACACGACGCCGAAAGTTTCGTTGAGTGTGATCAAACACCGGGAACTCTTGTTCTTTATTGTTGTGCGCGTGTGTGTCAAATGGTGAGGTGAGAGTCGTCTGGGAATCGTGGAGAAAATCTCACGCAGTTCAAACATGAGAATCAAGAAGGAAGCACCGTGCCTCGTGTTGAGACTAGTTCCTCTGGAGAATCTCGAGCCGTGGGGTAAGAATCTTCCTCTCTCCGTTTGTCTTCTTTATGTTTTCGATAATATGAATCATTGGAAGCTTGGTGCGCGTTGATCTCCATGCCCCTCGATCTCTCGAAGACTGAACTTTGTGTCTCGTTAGTAAGTTGGACCATTCGATTGATCCATATTTTTATTAGTAAACTCGTTCGTCTTTTAAGCAATTTAAAAAATTCTATTTCTGTTTTTCGTTAATCTGATGAAAAAATAATAAAAACCGTATTTACGATATCTAAAAATTACTCAAGAGATATTTATCGATATCAAATTTTTTTGTATGTATTTGTATATATTATTCGACATTATAAAAAATATATATATTAAATCGTTATTTTAAGATCGAATATTTTACCTTTTATCAAATTTCTTGAAAAATAAAAATAAGCAAAATTAAAAACCGTTAATTCGATTCGTTTAAATTATGTTCACAAGCACTTTGTTTATCTTTGATTGTATTTATACTCTTGACTGATGTCATTGGTAGCACCTTAATTATACATTTTATATTTTATTATCCTTGTTGTATTTAGTCATTTAATTCTCAACGTCATTCGAAAACTATGATCAAAGGTATTTCTAAAACATCCACAGCGGCGGGAGAATACAAAGTCGAACGTGGCACGCGGGTAAATACAATCTCTTATGCGGATGACTCAGGCTTTGGTATCCTTTAGATTTAGGCGTAATGCGTACTCGATGACTCGTTCGTGTTATAATCGCGAGTATAATGGAATCACGGATTCTTCCGAGACGTTATATTGAAACAATTTTTTGCTGAATCTTTTCGCGTTAAATCACATCGCAGATAAACCTCTTTCATAACAATATTTTTTTTTTTTTTTTTTTTGACTTTTCCTGATTGATAACGTATTCTTTCACAAATTCCAAATGAGAAAATATTTTTTTCTTTTATAAATCAGTTAAAAGAAGAAATAGGATATAAAGGAAAAAAAGGTTGGAATTCCATGAAGCATACTTACATGGTGGACAACGAAGTGCATCGTTGCGATGGAATGTGGGTCACTTCATTTAGGTCATTACAACAATCAACTTGTACGAGGTTCATTGCTCTCGTTTTGCAAGTGCCGCAAAAATATCATTCTTCTATTACTACATTAACTTATATCGTCAATATTATCTTTTGAACTTGTCGAACATTCGTATCGATTTCTTCATTACCGGCATTCCTTGACAGTTCTTTGATCATTAGTCATCCATATTTCTGAGAAATATTCATTCGTAACAATTATGCAACGTTGATTAAGAAAGAACGTTTTTTTTCAATCTGCAGATACATTAGTGTTCCTAAAGTAAATTGAGATATCTCGAACTAAAACGAGAAGCACGCGTCAGCGCATAAAATCACGCGTGCCAGCCGCGGTTGAAAATCAGGCCAATACCCCACGAAAGAACACACGTATCCCCTTTTCTTAATAATTGTGATACATTAAGCGTAATTACCGTTCAACCGTCGTGAGGAGCGCGCGCATATCGGGTATCGCGATGGTAAAACATGAACTCGTGATGTCACGCGTTGTGTCACGTACTATGGCGAATGTTTTACCATATAACGTGACCACGTCGCGATAGATCGCGCTCAAAGTTGCGATTTCCTTTGAAAACTAGTCCTTGGCGTAGGATGTCCCGCGGGTATCGATAGACGGCGCAGTTGTGCCACTTTGTTAAAGATATGTGGATCGTGTAACGAGTTTCGCCGCGTTTACATAGCCGTCTAGATTCGAAAACCGTTACGTGCGTTTTGAATGATCGTAGGGAGTTGTTGAGAAACCTACTATGAAACGATAAAACTATATAATGTAAATAAGCATATGTTGTACACTCGTGTTGTCGATACACGTTCCTCAGACGTGTCCAACGCTATTTACGATTTCCGGCAGACAATCTTAAGACTAGGTCACGGAATTGCATTACGTCTACTTATACGCCAAGAGTATCGATAATGCATCGCTCGCATCTCCAAATCTTAATTCTTGTTCCTCTCATTTTAATATCAAATCGAACTTTAGCTTCGTCACAATCGAATTCGTTTGCGATTCGATTGATTAGATGAACGTCGAATTAATGCACGTAACTTAAAGCGAAACATCCATCCTCATTACCGAGCAAAATAATAATAGAGGGAAAAGTATTATGAATTAAAGCGGTAAATTGAATTAAATCCGGAAGCAGGGAGAGGCCACCCCTCCTCTCAATCTCGTTCCCCCGAACGAGAAGGAAGTTTCGTTGCGGCGACT